TCAAGTGCAGACACTCTGCCACTTAGCACTCTCTGTTTATTGTTTTTTTTTTTTTTTAAATAAACTAGTGCTTTACTCATCAAGAGTGTGATCCTTGACTCACACACTGACCAACACAAGTTTCTCTCCACACCTATTGTAGAAATGGATGTACAGTAGCCTACAGGGATGGTGGAGGGCTCTGACTATGTTGACTGAGCCAGCCAAAGTGTGATCATTTGCATCTTGGGCATTGGCGAAGAAGGCAGTTCGGGCTGCCAAAAACTGATGTGAATTGCATGACACATGACCATCGACACTTCATAAATGCGTAGCTGTTATATGCTTCAACTGTGCAGCGACACACTCACTCAGTGTTGAGGCTCCATCTACCATCTATGTGTTGTGAGCATGTAAGGTGCGGGAAAAAAACACTATTCAAAAATGATCTTAATGCAAGTAAAATGTATTGCCGATTTATTTACAACCTGAAACTGGGAAAAGGGGAAGGGGAACAATCGAAATGTAAACTGTTTGCGCATAGTCTCAGTCATTATCAGAAACACTCTCACCTGGTGATGATCATCTTTAATGACTTGAGATTAGGGAACACCTCTGGGAATCCTCAATTTACAGTTATGGGAAGCTCCATATAAGGAGTAGTGTGTCACCGCTCCACCCACTACCTAACAGAGTCACTGCACATAACATACTGGGGCCGGATGAGCTTTTCTTCTTGAGGTCAACGTTCATCCACTTCCAATGGATAGAGTAGTTGAACTTGTCTCTTGAGAACCAGAGGGTCCGGCAGTCGAACACAACATGTTCTAATTCTACCAACTCTTCCAATAAATACTTCTTCAGTCCATCCCATTTTCTACATATGTTTTGGTAGTTTATCTGAATGAAATAACACAATACCTGCCACCTTAAATGGTGCAGAATGTTTCAGGTTAGGCAGAGGTGCAGGGTTCAATTCTGGCTCCAGCTTTCCTGTGTGGAGTTTGCATGTTCTCCCCTTGCCTGGGTGGGTTTTCTCTCGATACTTCGGTTTCCTCCCACATTCCAAAAACATGCGTGGCAGGTTAATAGAATGCTCTAAATTGTCCTGAGGTGTGAGTGTGAGCGTAGATGTTTGTTGGTCTATGTGCGCCCTGCGATTGCCCGGCAATCTATTCAGGGTGTCCCCCACCTACTGCCGGGATAGGCTCCAGCATGCCCGAGGCCCTGGTGAAGATAAATGGATCACAAAATGGATGAATGGATGAATATCCTAATCTAGCACCAATCAATGCTCCCATTAAAGGAGGGGTGTCAAACTCATTTCACATTGTGGGCCACATAAGGCCTCGGTAGATGTCAAGTGGGCCGAACCATTAAAATGTTCCATACTCTGCGATTAATAACCAAAGAAACATGTCTTTCCTTTGTTTTGGTCTAAAGAAGCACAGGAGTATTTTGAAAATGTTGAAATTTAATGAACATATTTTTTACAAAACATTTCATGAAGCACCTTAGATTTCCTTCGACCAATGTGCTATTTACTTTTATCATTCACATATATGCATTGCAACAGACTGAGACTGCTGTTGTCTTCTTCTCTGATCAAAACAATGTTGTCTTCTACTCTGATCAAAACAGTGTGTCCCCTAGTGGATACTCCATAAATTGCACCTTATTAAAAATATTCATTCCGTGTCTATGCATTTTTTCACTTTTAAATGATCCTGCGGGCCTGATTGAACCTCCTGGGGGCCGGTTGCGGCCCGCGGGACGTATGTTTGACACCCCTGCATTAAAGTGTCATCTTTGCTGATGGGGCAAAATTAGTTTTAGAAGTGGCTAAACTGGTTGTGCATTGACCATCTGATCTCTCACAACGCAAGTATGCTGCAGCAACAGAAGAATATGCCTTTTCACTAGCATCAGTAAACACATGAAGCTCGCGCTTGTCTGTGATATCTACGAACTTATTACAGTCTATTTGATGATCATAACGACGATCGATTGAGATACAGCTGAAGTGGGCCAGTTCGGAGCACCACTGGTGCCGTGACTTTGGTAGTTCCTCAGGAAGATCTTGGTCCCATGCAATTCCACTCTGCCACATCTCCTGAAAAAGACATTTGACTTGAATAGTAAATGGAGATAAAAGTCCAATGGGATCAAAGATGCGTGCAGCAGCTTGAAGTACACTTTTCGTGTCATGTTTGCCCTTCAAATATTCAGTGATTTCATTTGGTTCAATGGTGAATTCATCTGTTTCAGTGATCCATGTTAATCCTAGTACTTTGAGAGGGTTTTGTCCTTTTGCTTCCAATGATTCCATTTCATTTTCCAGTTTCCACATATTTCTCAACTCGGGGGAATTTGTGAACTATTTGCATAATTTCATATTTGCGCTTGACATTATTTCTTTGGCTCTCTGAGATAATTCCATGGCCTTGTCGACATTATTTGCTCCTGTGATAAATAAAATCATCCATGTACAAACACTCATCTAAAGCCCTGTTCACACGGCACACATTTGGTCCGACGCTGCACCGAAATATTTTGTTGCGATATATTTTACACTGGAGCAAATTTTGTGGAGTGGTCACACGTGCAAAGCCGCTGAGCGTGACAGCACCAGCGCAGCTTTGGCGCAGCTCCACTTGCGGTCACACGTGCAGTTTCTGCTGCGGACCAAAACGACAGGAATGCGGAAGTAAAATAGGTTCGGGTCGGGCTTCTCTCTCGCGGACTTTTATTTATTTTTCTTTTAATAAATATTATGGCGGACACTATTCTGTCCTTCTTCAGAATAGATCCACTTGTCGGCAGTCGTGGAAGGAAGACGTGTTTACAGTCAATCGTGTGTGCTCCTTATGACTGCCACTATATATGTTTTAAAAAATGTATACTAAAACGATGTGCGGATACTAAACTAAGGAATACTTGTTTTAAAACAAACAATTTGGATAAAACAGAGAATGCGCTGTAATTTAATTGCTATTTAACTGCTAAACAGGAGCGGGGCCGGCCAGACGCAGTGCGCACGTATGTTAATTTCGTTTAAACAATCCTATAGAAATAATTTCAGATATCTTTACCTATTTATTTGATTTGAATTATTCTATTTAAAGCCTAGTAAGCCGCAGGATTTCTCTGCGTAATTAAGCAAATGTGCATCGAGCTTTCCTTTTGTCTGGCCTCTTATTCTGTATTTCAGCGTTATTTCGTTGTGCAAATGCATTGATCATGTTCATAAAAATATGTAGATTATTTTAACCGGAAGAAATCTTGTGTTTTTTTCTCCCAAAAATACTCACAAATAAAATATGAAATGTCGGGTTTGCTTCGGGCTCGGGCCTGCAAATCGGGCTCGGCTGACGTCACTGCTTTCTCGATCCTCTTCTTGATCGTGAGCGCTGTCTTCACCACTTAAATCGCCGACACTTTTACCGGGAAAGGGGGTGCACGGCCGGGCTTCGTCTGTGTCGCTGGCCCCCTCGTAACTGTCGACCGGGGTCGGATTCCGTGCATCTGGTAGCGAGCGTAGCGAGGCCACTCCCCCGCAAGCGAGCATTTGCTCTGGAGCAAATTTAACCCAGCTGCATTCACACGTGCACATTTGTTCCGGCGTAGCATCGCAAACGAGCATTTGCTCTGGAGCAAATTTTTAAACCACCTCCCTGAGGTGGATCAAATTTGGTCCGGTATAAGCTCTTTAGTGGAGCTACGTTGGAGAAAATGTGCACGTGTGAACGCTCGACTGGATCTGCTTCGGCGCAGCGTCGGACCAAACGTTGCCGTGTGAACGGGGCTTAAGATTTTGACTTCTTCTGGATATAAGTGTTCATAGCTTTTGAGGTGATGTCTCATCATTGCCGCTCATAAAAAGGGACTGACAGATGCACCAAATGGCACACGAGTCATTCTAAAAATCGCAGTCTTTAACTTTTCAAGGGGAACAGGGTTCTCTTGTTGCCATAAAAAAATCCCAAAACATTACTCTCTCGCTTATTTAGGCTAATCTGCCAAAACGCTTTTGTTATGTCAGCCATCATGGCAACTCGGTGCTGTTGGAATTTGATCAAAATGCTAAGTAGGTCAGGAGTCAGATGTGGCCCAGTTAGTAGACGTTAATCTAAAACACATAGCTTGGTGGCAGTTCCACTCTCTCTAATCACTGGATGACATGGCAAATAATAAACTGGGTTTTCTGTCTCAAAATTAATCACTTGGTCATACTGATCATACAGTTTATCATTCTTCAGAAATCATCTGGATAGGTTAGTCAATCGATTCTGTGCTGTACAGTAATTATTAGACAAATGACAGACACCTTCCTCACAAGGCAGACTTTCTTCATATCTACCTTGTTGATAGTTCACTGACTTTTAAAACTTCTGCATTGCTTCTGGCACTGGGGTGGGGCTCTCCATATGAATCCCCAGTGACTCTGTCTCCAAGAAATAGCGCAACTGACCGGTCAGGATTTGTTCTTCTCCAACTGTCAGGTTACAGACATCCACTTCCACAGCTTCCATAGTTACATTCATGATGGGAATGGACACAACTCCCTGAATGAGCCATGCAAATGTACTCCCCACAGCACACACAGACATTCAGTCTCTCTATGCACCCTGACACTACATTTCAATAATGGTCTCCTATCGTATCAGCATTCCAAAGCTTTCCGTTTCCATACCTCTCACTGGCGTTATCAGCTATCTGTAACCCTTTTTCCTCAAGAGACTTCCTTAATTTCTCGTTGGCTATTTTCATATTTGATGAGCATACAGTAATTCAACCTCAAGAGCTTCATTCGTTTCCAGATTTCTCAAGGTTGCTTTAACTTTCTTTGCAATTACTCTTTTGTGTGTCACAGAGCCAAATGTGTGCAGTTGTATTATGTCTGTTCCTATGACTGGTAGGTTTCGGGCTCTAGAAATATCTTAATGGATAAAACTGCATTAGCCCCCCTCCCCCTCCCACATAGGAAGCACTTAGTGAGGTGGCTTTGTCGCGGGCGGTGGTCCGCAACCCCCAGCTCCAGAGCCGCATGTGGCTTTTTAGCGCCTCCCTAGTGGCTTCCTGGAGCTTTTTCAAAAATATTTGAAAATGGAAAAAGATGTGGTAGGGATATATATATATATATATATATATATATATATATATATATATATATACACACACACACACACACACACACTTTTTTTTAATATGGTTTCTGTAGGAGGACAAACATGACACAAACATTCTTAATGTTTTCCAATGCTGGAAAAATGTGTAGAATAAATATTTATTTCATCATTTCTATCAACGAGGATTTGCATCATAGCCTGCGACACACGTTTTTATTAGCAGGACGGGATGCCAGGCAGGTGGCTGTTGTAAAAAAAAAACAAAAAAACAAACAGCATTTCATGTACAATTCACCCAGGGTACTGGCAAAGAATGGGAATGTGGAGGGCTGAGAGAAGCGTTTTTAAACGGTACACCTGAGCTACGATAGTTAGTGCATGTGTATGCGCACATGTGCGTTAACAGAGGTTGGTTGATCGAAAAGTAGATCTTAGGTCAAAAAAGGTTGGGCACCCCTGCTCTACAGGATGCACTGCAGGGGAAAAAAAAACATTTAATCATGAAGGCTGATTGTGTATTTGTAGCCTATTTAAACATTTTGATAGTAGGCCTTATAGATACGTACAGCATGTGTTGCCTGCATTGTACATAAGGCTATTAATTTTTTACGGCTCCAGACATATGTGTTATTTGCTTTTTTGGTCCAATATGGCTCTTTCAACATTTTGGGTTGCCAACCCCTATTATAGGGGCATATATCCATACAGTAGCTGTTTGCAACAATACAGTACTGGATTGCCTTTAGAATTACCGGGAAAAACTGACACCACTGTGTCTGAGCGAGATGAGTCATTGTGTTTTTCTTCTTGTGCGTGCTTTGACGGTTGGATGCACACTGTTCTGTCATGACATCTGCTGCATTGGTCACGTTCAATGCCCTGCGCGCAATATGTCTGGGGCAGGCAGGCAGGCGACCTGGTGGTCAACTGGTTAGCCCGTCGGCCTAACAGTGCAGAGGTGCAGGGTTTGATTCCGGCTCCGGCTTTCCTGTCTGGAGTTCACATGTTCTCCCCGTGCCTGTGTTGATTTTCACCGGGTACTCTGGTTTCCTCCCACATTCCAAAAACATGCATGGCAGGTTAATAGAATACTCTAAATTGTCCCCAGGTCTGAGTGTGAGCGCGAATGGTTGTTTGTCTATGTGTGCCCTGAGATTGGGTGCCAACCAGTTCAGGTTTAGCTCCGCCTACTGCCCGAGGACAGCTGGGATGGGCCCGAGCACACCTCACAACCCTTGTGAGGATAAGCTGATCAGAAAGTGGATGGATGGATGTCTGGGGCATAAACAGATGAAACATCTGCCAAATCGTTTTAGTTTGTCTCTTCTAATGTCAACAGTGAATTCGGTGCATTGAGATGATTTATGAGCTATCCCACAAAACAAGCAATCAATAGTGTTTTCATTCAGACTCCACATACAAAATGTTGCAGCTGACTCCGTAGGTCCACTGTGTGACCTTCTCATTCTGCGCTCTTTGCCATGCTCCTTTATCACATGCATCAGGCTGAAAGACTTCTCATTGAAATGAGATTTGAAGCTCTCACTCTCTACTTTCGACTTCTAATTCCAAAAATTCCATCAAATCTTTTGCTTTGAGCACATTTTCTCTTTTGCTTTACCTGAATTCAAGGGCAAGATCCTCTGGGATCATTTTAGCAATATGGGACATAACAGGCTTCCATACCATCGGATACGACGCCCATCGCATCAAGACAGCGCACTTGTACGTCACAGTCGTCATACTTTGCTATGTCATGCTATGTGCCACATGTGCCAAATAAACATTTAATTTATTGATATGAGGAAAATATGTAAATACAGCTGGAATTTTTATGCGCTGCACACAAGCTGACAGGAATGGGCATGATCCAACATAGCCTTCACATATAGGCATTAAAATAGCAAAATGAGAAAATGACTTTGGCAAGCCCAAAATACTTTTTGTGAACATTTATTTTGTTTAAATGACACCAGATAACTAACATGTTCTGTGGTAAACTATCATTTGCCTTGTTCGACCTACTATAATCAGTACATCCACATCTGTAATACGTCAATGTATTTTGCCACGAAAATAAAACCTTTTTTTTTTTCTTTTGCCATGTCAGTCACGCAAGCACCTGCCTTTCACCACTTCAGGCAGTTAGTTTGATGGGATGTTTTATTTTTGGGGGATGCATACAGCCGATGGTAGCCGTTTGTTGTATCAATTGAAGTCACGTTGCCAAATAGAAAATATGTGCTGGTCCAATGTAAAACATTTTAATGACTCATCATGCGTTTTCCTTTTTGCAATCAAATAGATTCTTAATCGTAAATTTAGATTATAGCATTTTTGTTGCAAAATATAACCTGTTGCAATGGATTGCAGTTTCCATTTTGGGGTGGGGGGGTGCAATGGCAATGGTGTGACGAAATATCATTTCATGCATTTGTTGTCTAATGCTGTGGTAATCTTATTTTACAACAAATATTGTGCTGACCACAAATATTATTTTGGCAAAATCAAGTTTCCTGGGGCCAAATGTTCTTTTTTTTTTCTTTGAATACAATGTATCATTCTGTGGCAAAGTATAGCCTTTAACACATTTGTGTCATCAGACACATCGTGAATTGATGTGTGTGTGAGGGCGGGCGGGCGGGGTTCAGCTTTGATGAGCGACTTCTTTGTTATAATTGTGATTGCAATGATAATCACGTCTCGAGGTTGGATTGTTTCATTCACCACTTGTGCCCAAATCAAAAGGTTTTTATCAGGGAAAGTGAATGTTATAATCATACCCAAGTAGTCAATTCACATAGCAGTAAGTGCTTCTTTATTTGGCCCATAAAATGAAGTAGGATTTTCTGCATGTATGTAAGGTTGTTGACAAATGTATTACACCAACGCCCAATGTAAGGTTTATGCCACAGTTGCTCTTAATTGGGGATTCCCAAAATCATGTTATCATATTTTTCTAATCGTTAATACATCAGTATGTAAAAGCTCTTCAACATTTTCTCTTCAGTCTTTTTTTTAATGTTGATGTGTCATTACTTTTCTTCATCATAAAGTTTGTAATTTGATTTTAACTATTCGCTATATGTTGTCACATTATATTGCAGCCGATACAATGGTGCCCTCATTCTGTTTGGCAATTCTGAAAGCCAACTATTCATTTGCTCCTTGTCGTGACCACTATACCTAACATGACACACCAGTGCATTAGGATCTATTTGTGTTTGAAAAAATGTTTATCTTAAACTGTATTTGATTTGGAGCGGCCCGGTGATCGTCTGATTCGCGCGTCGCATCGGCCTCACAGTGCAGAAGTGCAGGGTTCGATTCCAACTCCCTATGTGTGAGTGTGAGGACAGACAGTTCAGGGTGTCCCCCACCTACTGCCTGAAGACAGCTGGGATAGACTCCAGCACGCTGTCCGACCCTTGTGAGGATAAGCGGATCAGAAAATGGATAGATAGATGTATTTTATTTGTTTTGTTGTATATATTTTCAGTAAAAATAAATAAATAAATAAAATCTCTTGCTGGTCACTTGCGCTGCCGCTCACTTGTGCCATGTTAATGCTCGCAGTGCATTGTGATCTAACCTTGGGGTCGGGAACCCAAAATGTTGAAAGAGCCATATTGGACCAAAATAAACAAAAAATAAATATGTCTGGAGCCGCAAAAAATAAAAAGCTTTATAATGAAGGCAACACATGCTGTATGTATCTATATGAGCTATATTAGCCTACTATCAATATGACTAAGTTGGCTACAAACACACAACAAGCATAAATGATTACAAGGTTTTTTTTCCCCTGCAGTTCATACTGTAGAGGAGGGGTGCCCAAACTTTTTTGACGGAAGATCTACTTTTCGAACAACCAACCTCCCGCGATCAACCCGTTACCGCACACACGTGCATACGCACACACTTACACATGCATGCCGTAATGAGCGACAGCCATAACGGCCGCTGAGATGAACGAGACACGGGACGCACTTTCTCAGCGTGCTATCGTAGCTCACGTGTACTGTTTAAAAATGCTTTTCTTGGCCGCCCAGATTCCCATTCTTAGCAAGTACCCTCGGTGAGTTGTACATGAAAGGCAGCTGTTTTTTTGTTTGGTTTTTTTTTTTTTTTTTTTTTTCCCAAAAACCAACCCCCTCACT